CAGGGGACCAGGGGCCTCCTCGCGGGGGCCTGCGCGAGCCGGCCTATGGGGACGGGACGCTGGCGACTGGATGCTCACCCCGCCGCCTTCCTCACCAGAGGAACACCCGGGCTTTGTCCGTGGTAATACGGAGATTTCCAAAGGGTGAGCAGCCAACACGGCACGAGCTCGCGCTCCGTTTCGTAGTCTTCATTTACAGCAAGGCGGTAGCTGGCAGCCAAGCAGGAGCGCAGCCTGTTCCAGCATCCCCTCGGCCATCCCCAACGCCAGCGGCCTGGAGCAAAGCTGAAGAAACCGCTGCAAAATCTGTTTTCTGTCCTCTGAGGCTGCTTAGCACAGGCTTGGTTTAGAAAAGTGACTTCAGCATCAGTTTGTGTTTTTGTCATCAGCCTCACAAAAGCTGACTTGAAGCTCAGCACCCAGACTAACGCGGAAAACAGACCTGGCTCCAGAAAAAACTACACCTGCTGAGCCGCACGGGGAAACCGGGGTTTCTGCCTTCTGCCGGCAGGCACCTTCTGCAGTCAGCTTTGGAAGCACCACGGCGGCATTTCAAAATTGGGATGGAGTGGGGAAAAACCAAACCACTGCCTGAAAAACAGCAAGAGATCAGGAAATAAAAGTAGGTGTGCCATCAGCAGGGACAAGGGCTCTCCGAGTCCCCGTGAGAGCACGTCCCACGGGAGGAGTGGTAGGGTCGATGCTGACGGGGAGACGATGAACAGGGCAGGACTGGTGCACACGCAGCTGGTGACGGACAAGTGCAAAGGTCAGTCAAAAGATCGGAACTTAACAGTGTGATCTACGCCGGCTTGTCAGCATTCGCTTTCCTAATGGCAATTGTTTCAGCAGCGCTATTGCTTGAATGGAGTTAAAATCACACTGGCCATAGCTCCAACCAGAAAACCTGCACTATAGTGAAAAACACTACATGATGCATTGGGTGTTTCGCCAATTTCTCTCTCACGTAAAAAGGGCCGTGCTGCTCATCCTCCTCAAGGCAGATCATCTCCGCCTCTAAACTTGGTGGCACTGCAAACTTTCCTAACAATAAATCCGTAACTCATTTAGCTGCCCGCCTGAAAACGGGTACCGCCGTGGCAGCCCTGGTAACGGCGAGCTCTCCGTCAGATACAGCCACGTGTTTCTCTGCAGCAGTGCATGTTTTCATGAAGCTCTTCTGCTCCTTCATCCTCCTCCCGGGATGAACTCAGCACTGGATGTCGTGCAGTTCACGTGTCCTTAGTGCTGCAAACGCTGGATGCCCGATCGCCTGTCCCAGTTGTCAGCTGGGTTTGACCTAGCCCAAACCAGCGCTCCCCACACCAGGGCGTTTAAGGGAATGGCCAAAGACGTTTCTGCCAACGCCCACTTCAGCCTGTCCTCCAGATGTCTACGCTGACTCCGTTCAAAAGCCACAGTCTGCTTCTGCTCCTCATCCTGAGGACCGCAGGGCTAACCATGCTCTGAGAAATGGCTGACTTAAAATAAACAAGGCGCAGAGGCAACAAAAGAGGTCATATTTCACTCGATCCCAAGCCTGAAATTTTATTGCTTTCTGGTGACATCCCGCAATGCAAATAACCCCAAGTGCACGCACGAGCAGAGCTCAGCAGCGTCCTCCTGGCAGGCGGGCACCCTGCTCCAGCTGACCCCGCTTGGGCAGGGGGGCCGACCAGGCCGTCGCAGCGGTCCCTGCCAGCCCCAGCCCTTCTAGGATTCTGTCTCTTCATAACCCTGGTTTTAACCCAGCATTTCTGCAGGAGCAGGTGCATAATGCAGGAGCAAGCTGTCGCAAACCAGTCCTGCGCTGGGCCAGCTCTCCGGTTCGCTTATGCTGTAAATCTGTAAAGTTGCTGTGCCGGTCCTTGACATGCTCTTTGGATTGACCTCTCTTTTTTTACTTTGGAGGTTACCAAAGCAGGGCTGTGCGAGGAGCTGTTCCCCTGCCCTCGCCGCGCATGGCCAAGGTAAGCCGTCCCCTGGCTGCGCTGTTTACACAGCTGGTTGCAATTGTGCCTGCTCCCAAATCTCCGCATTCTTCATCCCATGCGAGCACTCCGCTCGCTCCCGGCACCCCTCGGAGAGGTGTGACCAGAATGCAGAGTGCTTATTTGGTAACGCCGCAGTGTGATGTGGACACAGCGATCTGAAATAAAGCAACTTAATCTCAGGATAACATGCCGACACGAAGCTGCTCACACAACTGCTGTTGGGACTCAAAACAGAGATACACCAAAAAAACCCCCCTGCTAATTCAGAAACAACTGCGAGCATAGATAAAGCCTGGCTGGGAAAAGGAAAATTGGTCAAACAACCCAAATCTTTCAATTTACTCAAAACTCACTTACCTTAAATACACATGTCACAGTTTGCCCATAATAAATCCTTAAGGGCAGAAAATAATTGCAGAGATCTGGAACTGTTCTGTAAAATGAGAGGCCAAACTAGGAACGG